CTGAAAAATATTTTCCTGATTTCATATTTTTGATGGTTTATAGTTCTTGCATGACCCATGGGACCATTTACCGCAGAGATTATGTGCATTCCAAGCATGACTTCGCCTGTTACTCTTTCTGCAGACTACAGAAATTTTTATGATTGTGGTCATTTACAACTCCTGGTACACTTGGCAACTCTCCTAGCTAGCTAGTGCACAGGACCACTATAAGTATTTAGTTGTCATTGTTGGAACAGTTCCTCTGGGTAGGCTCTCTAGGATAAGCTTACTATAAAAATATTTTGTTTCGTATGTTGGTATATATACTGTAGCGTGATATATATGGATTTCATGTATTATAGTTTAAATCCCATACAACAATCTTTCCTCCTGGTACACTTGAACAGTTCTCCTGGGTAGGCGGGCTAGATGAGCCTACTATAAAAGTATTTTGTTTAATATGTTGCTATACTGTAATTTGATATAGTCTTTTGTATTTATGTATTTTATGTATTATTTGTATATGCTGGTAATACTGTAGTTTGATATCTATAATTTTTATAGATTGTTATTATTATTATCATTATTATTATTAGACTTATGTGTTTGGTAAACTGGTGACTGCTGGCAGCTTCTACAGCGTGTTGAGGAACTGGTGACTCACGAAATCGTAATGACACGATTACAAATAAACCATACCATGGGCGGGGTTAGAACCCGCGATCAGAGAGTCTCAAAACTCCAGACTGTCGCATTAGCCACTGGGCCAGCTAACCCAGTGCTAACGCGACGGTCTGGGAATTTGAGACTCTGATCGCGGGTTCTAACCCCGCCCATGGTATGGTTTGCGGAACTGGTGGTTTCTAGCACCTCTTTTACATCCTAGATTTTGGGCACTTATAGATCACTGTATTTAGCTTTCCTAGATTTTTTCAACTTCACCACACCAAATACTATGGTGTCACTGTTATTAGCTAAGGTAATGACTGGTGTGAGGATTACTAGACGAAAATGCTGTCTGATGTGTACATTGCGTTCACTGTTCAACTCATATTCACCAAGAAATGCGTATCATTTAGTGTATATACACAGAGATACGTTCTTTGTAGGCTCTCCAAGTCTATAAACAAGGACGACCTGATGCGTATTCACTGACCATGGCAACAAAACGATGCGTGGTAATTGGACTTTTTCTTAGCGATAGCATTACAGGATCGGTTCCCCAGAATTCCTGGAAGAGAAATGCAATAGCACTCAACAGAATTTCTCCAAACTACACTACTCAACCTACTTTATTCATTACTGCAGAAAGTGGGCACAACAAATTCTCAATACTCCCAAGCACGATAAATACCCAGTATGAGCCCAAGCGCAGTAAATCTGATCAACGAAGCTATTACTGTTGGGTGTATGTGGTCCAAAGTATGAACCACAACCCGGATAATCAGGAACTGATTTTAGGAGCCTAATCAGTTCTCTCTCTCTTACTTGAAGACAGTAAGGGGAAAGGTGTCCGAAGTATTCCGCCTCATGTATAGGAGGCTGTTGAATAGTCTTGGGCCCCCTTCACACTTAGTGTTGTCTATCAGTGTACTCTTGGCACCTCTACTTCTCATTGGGGGTATTTTGCACCATTTACTGAGCCTTTTGTTTTCGTAGGAAATAATTTCTGTGTGTGGATTTATAACTAATCCCTCAATAATTTTTTCAGGTGTAAATTATGAGTGATCTTTCTCGTTTTTGTTCCAGGGAGTACAAGTCAAAGGACTTCAAACGTTCCCGGTAATTCATATGCTTGACTGAACTTATACACGCAGTAAAGGTTCTCTGTACACATTCCAGATCTGCAGTTTCGCTTGCCTTAAAAGGTGCTGTTAGTGTACAGCAGTATCACAGGACAAACCAGGTGTATCACGTAGTAGAGGTGTATCACGTGGTAGAACAGGTATATAACGTGGTTTAGGTACATCGTGTAGGTGCATCACGTGGTGTATCGCGTGGGACAGGTATATCACGTGGCTTAGCAGGTGTTCAAGATGAGGAGTTGAATCATGTGGCGATGAATGTGTCAGGACAGTTGTATAACGTGATGGATGAATGTGGCAGGACAGTTGTATAACGTGATGGAACAGTCGTATCACATGATAAAACAGTTCTATCACATGGAAATGATAGAACTGTGATTCACTTAGAGAAAGTGAATCACGTGGCAGAGTAGGTATATCACATGGTGTGGTAGAGCAGAGATGCATCACATAATGGAGCTGCTGTATCATATATACCTGGAGGGTGTTCAGGGGGTCAACGCCCCCGCGGCCGGGTCCATGACTAGGTCTCACGGTGGATCAGGGCTTGATCAACCAGGCTGTTATGGTCGGCCGCACGCAAACCGACGTACAAACCACATTCCGGCTGGTCGAGTACTACTGACTTTAGGTGCCTGTCCAGTTAACTCTTGAAGACAGCCAGTTTATTAGTAACCCCCCCCCCCTTATGTATGCTAGGAGGCAGTTGAACGGTCTTGGGCCCCTGATACTATTGTTTCTTAGTGTACTCAATGGGCCCCCTCCTTTTCATTGGGGGGATGTTGCACCACCTGCCGAGTCTCTTTGCTTTCGTAGGGAGTGATTTCCGTGTGCAGTTTTGGGAGTAGCCCCTCTAGAATTTTCCAAGTGTCTGTTATGATGCATCTCTCGCCTGCGTTCCAAGGAGCACAGGTCAATGGACTTAGCAATTCTCAGTAACTAAGATGCTTTATTTTATTTATGCGTGCAGTGAAATTATTATAATCAAAAAGAAGCGCTAAGCCACAAGGGCTATACAGCGCGTGCAGTGAAAGTTCTCTATATTCTCCAGGTCTGCAGTTTCGCCTGCCTTGAAAAGGACCGTTAGTGTGTAACAGTAGAGAGTGTACAGCCTAGAGAGAACAAGATATTTAAAAATAATCATTGGCTTTGCATCCTTAGTTTTGAAGGTTCTCGTTATCCATTCTATCTTTGTAACTTGTCATGATTGTGACCAGACCTACCTGGAGTTCATTACCTTTGTAAATTGTGAGTTCATTATCTTTGTAAATTGCGAGTTCATTATTTCTGTAACTTGCTCAGCTATCAAAACTTTGGAGTCCAGTCCCTGGACCAATTATGTACCTCTGTAATCTTTTGACTACCGCCCACAGGATGGGTATGGGGTGCATAATAAACATATTAAACTAAACTAAACATTCTATCATTTTCCTAGTAGAGAAGTTATATCACGTGATATAGTAGTTATATAATCTGATATAGTAGTTATATCACACGATAGAGCAGCTGTATCACGTTGCAGATTAGGCACATCACGGGGCGGAGCAGGTACATAACGTGATTGAGCAGGTGTATCACGTAGTAGAGCAATTGTTTATCATGGTACAATATTATTATAATCAAGGGGGAAGCGCTAAACCCGGAGGATTATACAGCGCCTGGGGGGGGATGTGGAAAGCATTCAGGCTTAATTCGCGGAACTGGAGCACAGATCCAATTCCCTAAATCAAGAGCCCCTCACCAACATCAAGGAACCTTCCTTGAGGGGTCATGGTACAATAGTATTACGTGACAACTAAGTTGTATCACGTTGTATATTACATGAGCAGTGTATCACGTGGTTAGGCAAGAGTATCACGTGACAACAGATTTAGTGTTTGTATCACGTGATAGAGCAGGTGTATCAAGTAGTGGAGCAGGTGTAGTCCTTATATCACGTGGTATAACACTAAGCACGCGGCGCAGAGCGCGTGCGACGCTGGTTCTTTCCTTGGCCGCGAGATGGCAGCTCACGGAATCGATCGCTACCTCGGGCAGATATAACCCGGCTAGTGACAGTGGAGTGCGCGTCGGCCAGCTGCTCACTGTTTATCCACTCATTTTCTCATTCAGAACAAGTCTTCGTTCCTGAAAACAGGTGAGCTGCTAGCTAAGGATGCTATATCTTCGCAAGCTGGAGTAGACGGTGCTACAGCGCCGATGTGTCAAGCTATAGGTGTGGCTAAGTTGTGTGGGCGCGCCACATGCAGTTGTAGACGTTAGCTGGCCGAGTGTCTAGTTTTTGTTGACACGTGCCTCTCTACTCCTGCTGCTCTCCTTCAGTGCACCTGTGTGCTGCTGTAATGTCTGCACAGCATCACCAAAGGTCACAGAGTCCAGACAACCTTGCAATATACTTAATATTAGGGTTTTGCGCGGTGGAATCTTTTGTAATAGTTCAGTACTGTAGCGAGGAGTGGTTACTGGGTGCGAGTGTTGCTTGGTGACAAGGATGTCAGAGCAAGGACGGTAGTGAAGGTAGATGGACAGAACAACGGACAGGCAAGCAGGTGGGTAGACTGGAAAACAGGCGGAGGATGGAGGAAGGCAGCATGATGGGCGTGGTCGGCAGATGTTAACAAAATGACCCACGCGAGGCACTTAGGAAGTCAGCGAATGTGAACACATAGATGGATGCTCTTCTGATGAACATTTTAAAGCAAGGTCAAATAGCCTGACTCGGCTGTTTACCTTTAGATTTTAATTATTTCACATCCAGATTCACTCGCAGCAAGAACGTTCGTAACTATCTCATTTAATAGTATGATCCGCTATGGAAGCATTTATATATATAAAAAAAGATTAAGATAAGATTAGCTTGGTAGGGGAGCAGGTTGGTTAGGTAGCATGACGGGGAAAATATTTATGGGGGAGAGGGATGTGTATCAGGGAAGAAGGTTGCCTCTGGAAGGTTATCGATTTATGTGATGCTCAACTACCTTTGCTATTATTTATGCTCTTGGCTGCCTTTCATGGCTTCTTCTAACCTTAATTTATGTGTTCGTTTTGAGTGTTTCGAACCTTTTTATAATTTGGTCATAATTTATAATTGTCCGGATATGTAATAGACTCAGCAAGATTCATTCATGTTTAAGATAGGGAACGGGTGGATAAGTCCAGGTCCATGGATCAAGAGCTCATCAACTTTTCCGTGCGTGTGTGTGTGTGTGTGTGTGTGTAACGTAGTTCATTTTTTTCATTTAAAGATTACCCTGTGTTCCTTCCTCCCAACTTGCCCTCGTCTTCACTCTTTAAAAGTTGGATACCTGCGTGCGAGTGAAGAGCTCTTGATTCAAGGAACTGGAGCTAACCAGCCATTTCTTGGATCAAGATTGGATTACCCCCATTCACCAGGAGTTTGATCATTCCTACGGATTAAGCGTTATATGCACTAATTCCGAACCAGCTGTAAAAAATGCAAATTAACCACAGGGGGACTTGAATGATAGCTCTAGGCCTTTCATGTTGCAGTCAACACATCAGTAGCTTGCAGTGTTACAGAATTGAGTAGAAAATCCAGACAAGTACGTTCAGGGAAGCTACACTATTCCTGCAACATTGCAAGCTCCTGGTGATGTGTTGATTGTAACACGAGAGGCATAGAACTGTCATTCAAATTTCCCTGTGGCTATTTTAAATTCACGTCGTTATGAACAACCGTTAATGAATAAACTGAAAATAGTACGTTAACTAACCATGGTCCTGGGAAATAACGGGCCCAGTATTGGAAACTTTCAGTAGGAAGATTTTACAGTCACACTTCTGTGACTTGTTTGTACCAACTCCCCTAAAGTCATATAGTCCTTAAACTAACGATAATTCGTTATGTCCTTAATTCGTTATAGTCCTTAAACTAACGAATTATCGTTAGTTTAAGAACTATATGAGTTTGGGGGAGTTGGTACAGACAAGTCACAGAATGTTATATATAATATATATATAAACATATATATATTATATATAATATATATTATATATATTACACACACACAGACACACACACACACATATATACACCACCTATTGAAATCCAGTTAATTGATGTTTCGAGTGCCTCTTCAGCTATCATCAGGTTATATAATATATATGGGTAAATGTGATGATCACAACCAGGGTAACCAAGTACATGCTTCATTTGCTCATCGCATAAATCAGAATGGTAGAATTTAAAATGATACAAAAATTGTAAAATGTGAAATTAAAATAAAATAGTTAAAATAACAATGACAAGACTAGGTAAACAAAATACCAAAATATGACTAGAGTTAACAGTAGCAAGAATTAAGTACAGAATTAACAAAACTATACAGAATACAACCAACTCGCATCAAACGTACCTTGAAACATTATAGCTATGCATAGCTACCTTTACAACCAATACTAAGCTTGTGAAGATGTCAGCAGCATTTCTATAAGAAGGTCGCTGTCTGACTGACCTCCATCCACTTTGGAGAGGCCGAGCTCAGCTAAGTAAGGGTAGATCAAATGTGTTGGAGTGTTCAGTAACGGCGCTAAACGCTGGTTTAGTAATCGGAAGTTTTGTTTGGCTTGATATTAGTGTTTTATAGTAATTATATTTATTTACAACAGAGGAAGATTTAGAGTTTAGTGGAAAATGATCTTTTACTTACATTGTCGGTAATTCAACCAATATTAATACAAATATTAAAGGCTAGCTATTACGTGATTTGGAGATAATTGTAATACTTGAGGTTAAAAGTCAGTGAACAGTTTATTGAATTTATTATATAAGCAAAAAGAGTTATTACCGTAATAAGGGGTAAAGGGGAGGGGGAGAATGCAGCACACAAACTAACCACTGAACCAGTTTGGCCTTAACCAAAATTATTTAACACCTAGGTGTGAAATTTCTGTTGCCCTGGCAAACCCTCCTAGACCATTTTATACTATTGACATGGTGTGGCATGCACATCTAATGTGAAGGAGAACACTTTTGTTTTCACTGATAGGAAAGACAATGTGGATGTGATGTGCATGTCTAGTAAGGTGACGGAGCAGTTCGATGACATATTTACCTGGAGGGTATTCCGAGGATCACCGCCCCCGCGGCCCGGTCCACGCTCAGGCTGTTACGTGCGGCCAGCAGTAACCAGGCTGTTACTGCTGGCCGCACGTAGTCCGACATACGAACCACAGCCCGGCTGATCCGGTGCCGACTTTAAGTATCTGTCCAGCTCCCTCTCGAAGGCAGCCAGGGGTCTATTGGTAATTCCTCTTATGCCTGGTGGGAGGCTGTTGAACAGTCTTGGGCCTCGGACACTTATTGTGTTTTCTCTTAGTGTACCAGTAGCGCCCCTGCTTTTCATTGGGGGGTATTTTGCATCGCCTGCCCAGTCTTTTGCTTTCGTAGGGAATGATTTCTGTGTGCAGATTAGGGTTTAGGGACCATTCTTTTTAAGATTTTCCAAGTGTATATTATGATATATCTCGCCTGCGTTCCAGTGAGCACAAGTCAGTGCTTCTAAGCGTTCCCAGTAGTGAAGGTGTTTGATGGAACTTATATATATACACTTATATATGTACATTCTCTAAATCTGCAATTCCACCTGCATTGACTGGAGATGTTAATGTACAGCAGTATTCCAGCCTAGAGAGAACAAGTGATTTAAAAAGGATCATCATTGGTTTGGAATCTCTTGTTTTGAACGTTCTCATTATCCATCCACTCATTTTCTTTGCAGTTGTGATAGTGGCACTATTGTGCTCCTTGAGAGTGAGATCCTCAGACATTACCACTCCCAGGTCCCTCACATTACTTTTCCGCACTGTTGTGTAATTCGAGTTTGTAGTATACTCAGTTCTAATTATTATCTCCAGTTTTCCATAACAGAGTATTTGGAATTTGTATTCATTGAACATCATATTGTTTTACGTTGCCCTTTGGAAAACTTGGTTTATATCTTTTTGGAGGTTAACTGTGTCCTCAGTGGATGACAGTCTCATGCAGATAATAATATCGTCTGCAAAGGATGACACGGTGCTATGGATTACACTTCTGTCTGTCTGATATGAGGATGAGGAACAGGATGGGGGCGAGTGCTGTACCTTGTGGAACAGAGCTTTTCACTATGGCAGTTTCCGATTTAACTGTTTACCACTATTCTTTGCTTTCGATTGGTTCGAAAGCTGAAGATTCATCTCTCCACTTTGCCAGTTATCTTTTTAGGACGCATTTTGTGCGCTATTACACCATGATTGCACTTGTCAATTTTTTTTTTTTTGCAGAATCTGTGTATATTACATCTGCATTCTGTTTGTCTTCCAGTGCATCCTAGACCATATAGTGATCCAGTAGTTGCGAGAGGCACTAGCTACCCACTCTGAACCTATGTCCTGGATTGTGCATATTTTGGGACGCCAAGTTGTTTACAATCATGCTTCTTAGTAGAGTTTTGGGTATGGATGTTGACACAGTGTTCTCTAATTGTACTTATGTGTACAATTAGAGAACCACGTGGTTTATTCCACCATTTCTCTCATATCTTTTACTCCAGTAAGTTGTTATAGTAGTGAGTGAGCAGGTTAGGGACAAGGCTCTCAAAATATCTTCCAGCTATACATTATCAGGTATCTCTCTTCATGCCAGAGAGAATCCAAGTACTTCGAGGCGTTGTTTTGTCGTTTCTATTCAGGCCGTATATGACCTCTACATTTTCTGTCTGCAATCTCTCCCGTGAGCACAGAACAATATTACAGTCGTGAGAACGCAAGTGATTTGAAATGTACCATCGATAGTTGGCGTTTTCTGTGCTCATCAAGCCTGAGACTGGGCTCACCGCCTGTTTGTCAGCCAGCCCAACCTTATTCTCACAAAGCCTGTCTACCAGCCTAGTCTTCGTATCCTCACCAAGCCTGTGTCTAGACACTGGCCTAGTCTTCCTATCCTCAACAAGCCTGTGTCTGCTGGTTCAGTCTTCCTATCTTCATCATGCCTGTTTCTATCCGCCCAGGCTTCCTATCCTCACCAAGCCTGTGTCGGCCTGTTCAGTCTTCCTATCCTCACCAAACGTTTGTCTGTCGGTTCAGTCTTCTTATCCTCATCAAGCCTGTCTATCGGCCCACTCTTCTTATCCTTAC